TCTACCCCAGTACCTCTCTATTCAGTGCCATTTTCCCTTGGCTGGACTGGGACCCAACTGGGGGAATTCTTCTCTCTGCCCAGCTCAGCATTTGTTCCCAAGTTCAGCACTCATCTTCATGAAAGGCTGCATATTTCTTTAGGATTACTTTCAAGCCATATGTTTCTGTTTTGAAAGAATTAGGGTTTTTGCTCTATAATGATCAGCACAGAGAGAGAAAAAGGGCAAAGGCTTTTGTTACTCCCAAAAGTTGAGTCACCATCACGGGGCTAACCAGACAACATCACCACCTTTGAAAGCACAGCGTGGACGCTATTTTTCCCTGGCACATTAATTTTCTCATAACAGCCAACTCTACTCCTCTGCTTCTGCATTGTGTGCCTTATGGAGAAAGCAAGGCCAACCCTCCTCAGCCCAGCCCCTTCCTCAAAGGGCTGGCACAGCCTGGCTGCAGTGCAATCATTCTTGAAGGTCAGCAACACCAGGACCAAGTTCCATTTCTCTGATCAATCAACGCAGCTGCTGAAAAATAAATGTGCATCTGCCTCCCCACAAATAAATATTGAGGTAGAACGTGTCTGAGTTGGTGGGAGAGTAAAGAGGAGTTTCTATCATTCTGTGCCACCAGATTCTCTATAAAACGCAACTGGTCAGACAGTAACAACAGCAATCCCAGGGAAGCCCACGATGTCGATCTCAGAATATATTCCCATCACTCCAAGGTGTCACAGACTCAGGGGAATGACTTTTCAACTTAATACAAAGTGAGAACTGCCACTGGGTAATAAATTCTTTTCTGTCCTAAAAAAGTAGTCCACGAAGTAATCGTTGCAAGGAGCACGAGGTGTTTTATCTCCTCCATGGTGGCAAAGTGACTTTTCTGATTGGAAAGTGCTGATTTATTCCAAAATATGCACAAATCCTGCTTGCTGCTCATCTCCATCCCACCCTCCTGAAGGCAAAGATATTCTTAACTGTGTCGGAACTGCCAGCTTAACCCAGCAGGAAGCTTCGTCACCAGCAGCCTGTCCCAGCCAGGTATCTAGGCTGAGTGGAGCAGGAGCCCAGCAATGGTAACATTTGAAGAATCCAGAGGGAGGAGAAGTCAGACTTCTGAAGGAGTGATTGCCACCCATCACCACTTGCCTTCCAGCAGCTGTGGCTGAAGAGCAGCATCCCCATCACCCAACAGGCTGCCCCTGAGTGCTGCCCACTGGTTGACCAGCAGCACTGGTGTGTGTGTGTGTGTGCACGCACGTGTGTCTGAGAGGGCTCCTTGTGGACCAGGCTGCTCTGAAATTCTCAATGCTCCTGTACCTCTTCAGACATTAATATGTCTAGGTCAGAATAAGCCAAATTTCACATAACCGTAAGCACATCCCTTCTGCCCGAAGCTCCTCTTCTTCGAATCTCAACCTAAATCGCCACATCTGACAAGCCGCCCGTGAGAGTTTGCAGAAATATTAAGGAACGAACCCTTGCCAGAACTGAAACCGAGATGCGGGCAACAACAATGAAAAACACTTCGAACCTCGTGGGCTTGCAGTCTAGCACTCGAACTCGGTATGTGCGTACCAACGAATGCAGCATTCGCCACAGCGATTTACAGCCGAGATTCTAGCAGAGATTTATAGCAGACACTAAAGTGTGGCACTCTTGCAAATGCAGAGGTTTGGGGGGGGAAGGTAGAAAAGGAAAATGAGGAAAGAGAAAGCGACAAATTCAAATGCAATCCAAACATTCCGAGCCACCTTTCAATCTCAGAAATTTTACAGTCATTTGGGTGAGCCTAATGGTCTTTGAACCACCTTGGAAAATGTCACAATAGACGTTTGAATTAAAATCCAGTAGGTTTGCGAAAAGACCAATTGTTAAAAATTGGCAGCATTCCAGAGAATTTACTAGGCTGCATACTGCCCGGGGCTGAGAGAATTGCTAATTCCAAAGAAAGTTAATTATCACCTTATTGATAAAGGGGTAATTTTTAAAGCTTGTGGTGTGGCTTTTGAGACTCATTAATTAAAACAGAGTAATTTACTAGACACAGTGGTGGCTTCTGTTATATTATGTATGTACCAAACCATTTGATTTTTTTTTTTTCTCCCAGGGGCTGTTTTTAATCCCCCTGGTCTCTCCTCACCTGTCTGCTTTCGAAAGCAACAAAAACGTTAAAAACGTATACATCTCAAACTAGCCTTTCGGGAGATGCCAGGATTAGGAAATAAGATGTGGAAGGAGGCACTTAAAGCTCCCTCCCAGCCATGTCAAATTCGCCCACCAAAATTAAGAAGCACGTGTGCTCACACCAAAAGAGATTGCTTTCACACACTTCACCTCTAAAATGTTCGACCGAGCGTTATGCTCTTTGCTAGTGAGAAGAGAGTCTTTCTTCATCTCCTTTCCCTTCCCTCCCACACCGCCCCCGAAGAGCAGGAGGCTCCCTGGAAGCGAAGCGGCAAGGAATGAAGCCGGAGGCGCTTGGAATCTGAAGCCCCCAGCCCGGCGAGGGGCAGTGTCGCCCCTTGCTTTCTTCAGGACGTGTGGGTTGCGGGGAGCACGTCCCGGCCGCTTGGCGTCAGTGTGATGCTGAGGCTTCCAGGGGTACAGACCCCGGAGGAACAACGTCCCGCAGAGCTCTGCGGGGGGCCCCCGGGGGCGACTCCGAGCTTCCGCCCCCACCTCCGCCTGGACCCAACGTTCGCTCTCAGGTGTCAAAAGGGGCGAGTGTACGTGTGTGTGATGTGTCCCCTGGCCACGCCACACTGTAAACAGACCTACAAAACACTCTAAAATCGAACTCCCCAAATAGACATAAAGGTTATTTCTCTCCGAGCATTCCTCGTTTTGACTTAAGGCAACTTTAGTAATGTTTCCTTAAACTTGTGGAAGTATTTGAGATCCAAAATTGATATTAAAAAATAAACAAAAGCCACCCCGTGATGAGAGGTTGAACGCAATCTGCTTGTGATTTTTCACATCATTTAAATCTAAAGAATTTAAAAATTCTATGTTTGTACTTTGGGGCATCACTTGAATTTTTATAATAAGCAAATATTATTTCACATTTAGAAAAAGTCTTTACTTTTTCGAATTTCCAGTATGAAAGTTCTTACAGCAGGGTGACTGTCCTCGGGGCTGGCTGGTTTTCTAGCAGCTGGTCAGCTTGCCTTACCTGCGGTTGGAGGAGCACCCCGCGACCCCAGCCCCCAGGAGCCACGAACCAGAAAGTGAAACTCTTCGTGCTGGTTTCACTTGCCCCGAAAACACACCACCAAAAACCAATAAATGACCGAAAGCAATTTACTCTTGTCTTCTTTCTATTATTGTTCATTTACTTTGTTTTTTCTTTTATTCTTTTATTTCTTTCTTTTTTTTTGCAGCAAAATAAAAGTAATTTTGATGGCACAGGGAAGAAATGTAAACACGTTAAACGTAAAAGAGCTGGGTTTCAGTGGGATTTGCACTTTTCTTATAATTCCACAAATCAAGCAGACTGAGACATTTACCAAAATATGACATAGCCTCTCCACATACACAAGTTAAAAAGCTAAAGAAAACACATTCATATTTTTTAAAATATCTGTCTCAAATAGCTTTAAAAAGTAGAGATTTTGAAGCCACCCAACGACTTCCCTAAAACTGAAGGTTCTACATTAACATTTTATTTGAGTTTAGATGATCACAGCTGCTTTGCTAGGTAATCTTCACCCAGCTGCTGGTGCTCAAATACCACCTCAATTTTTCAGGCTCGTTCTACCAAGCAGCACAAAAAATGCTCCACGCAGATACTGTACCCCTAGGTAGTTTTCTTAACCACACTGTAAATTCCTTCTCAGCTATTTTTATGCTTTCACTCCAAATATTCTGTTTTATTTTTTTTTTTGTCTTGAGAAAAAAAGCGACTGTCTCTCACTCTTCAAAAATGGTTCCTCTGATTGAGAAAGAAGAAAATACACAGATTATACAACAAACATCTCGATTCTAAAGTGCCTGGATTACTCTCAAGTACCGCAGTGTCTGAGACCAACCAAAAAGCCGCTTTCTCAGAAAGCTGCTGATCATCTAACCATCTTGAGGACCGTCACAGAATCGAGAGACATCACCACGAGCCACCTTTCATTACTATTACAGGTAGTAGAAAGAACTCTGACCTAGCACCTCAACAATTGGTCAAATGACTTACAGGCAGCCGGTACCTCACCCTCATCCAAGTACTACACTGCTCAGCAAGCAACGTGGAGAGGAAGCCTTGTGCCACCGAGTTCAAGTCATGCAACACCCCGCTGGGGAAGGAGATGACCGTATCTGAACTTGGAAAAACTGCTCCTCACATTCCATAGTTACCTGGTTTTCTTCCCAAAACTAACCAACACCAGCAGCTAGCAATAAAGAGTATTCTCATCTATCCTGGTAAATTAGGAAAAACCAGCACAAAGACACATAAAATATTCCATCTGGGATATTAAAAATAAAATTCCATTTAAAAAGCCACTCTTGCATGTTCATAACACATTGATTTTAAAAATTAAATTTTAGGTAAATATTTTTTATCCCAAAACATACTACAATTTTTTAAATTTGAAGAACAAAACAAAGCAAAGTGAAATCATTGTGCAAAAAAAAAAAAAAAAGAAAGAAAAGAAAAAAGAAAAAGCTAACCAGTTATTTGAGTTCACATTTGGGGAAAAAAATAACTTGCTACATATTTAAATGCAGAGTTAAATAGTAGTGAACATGTATATACCCCAAATTTATAAACTATATAATTCTATACTGCATCTTCCCCTCTGAGATCTGGTTGAAAGCAATGTTGTATTTTGAGCAGGAAGAGGTCAAGTTTACCTGTTGGCCTCCGTGGTTTTAGATCAGGACATTTGTGCATTGCCATAGAGGGCAGCATGCAACCCAGAAAGCCTGAACCAGGTAAACTGTCATGCTGACAGTAAACAGAGAAGGATCCCGTGTCAACGGCACACCCTCCGATTGTGCATCTCCCTTACCTACGGCTTGTTCACCAGAGCCCTGATCAGGTTCTTTACCAGGCCGGGAATGTTGACTCAGAAGACAGATGACTTTCAGTACATGCAAACCGAGTATTGTAAAAGCTAGTCTTCCACCCGTGTGTTAGGAGCTCACAGTTAGTCTCCAGCAGCCCTGCTCTCCGGCTGCAAACATCTCATTAGACTAATGCATTCAGCACAGGCAGAAAACTCGATTTACCATAGCTACAGCAATGAATTTCCATTACGATGACAGCTTCAACCACATCATGTCCGGAAAACCAGCCAACCACTGGCTTTTAAAGAACACACACATTTTACATGCAGAAAACGAGGCGTGCGTGCGTGTGTGTGTGAGTGTGTGTGTGTGTCGTGTTTCCTTCCTCTTAGCAGCCTAACTAAGAGAAACGTGCAGTGTAGCTTTTTGCCGACATGAGCTGCAAGGTAATGACACTTCTGCTTCTTTGGTAGTTACGTCCTTGTAATAACCTGAATTATGTCACAATTGTCAGAATGGGTGTTTCCAACATTTCGGTTTTCATTACCCCTCTTCTGTTGCCATAGAAACCAGACTGTAACATCATTTCTTTGTCCCAGTCCTGCAGCAGTGTGGGCCAGCACCGGGCTTATAAGATACTGGTGATCTGAAGGAGTGAATGTTTGACTTTGGACAAATAAAACAGAAAGAAATATTCTAATGACATCATGGTTAGGGAGAGACTGTGTGTTTGCCAGAGGAGTGTGCCGACACAGGTGAACACACAATGGTCATACGTATAACTCTACAGCTGCATACTGCACATGTGGCCAGTTCATTAAAATAGGGCCCTGACTTGGGCTCCAGATCTGTGTGTGTAAGTGCAGAAGCATTCTACACTCATGTTCTACACTCGTGAACGTGGTCGGGGCCTGCATAGTGTGGAATGGTCCTCACACAGGATAAAGGTTACTCTTCATCCTTCGTGTCCTATTGTGTTCCTGTGGCAATTCAATTTACACTGGTAAAAGGACTTTTTCTTCTTTTTTTTGTAAAGTGGAGAAAGGCTACCCCTTGCCCATTTCATTCACCACATTCTGGGGTATTGTCATTGTTGTTACGTGCCATCAAGTCAGCTCCGACTCCTAGTGACCCTATGAATGAATGATGTCCACATGTCCTGTCCTCAACAGCCCTGCTCCAACTTCTGTAGACTCACACCTATGGCTTCCTTTATGGAGTCAATCCATCTCACATTTGGTCTTCCTCTTTTCCTAGGGTATTATTTCTGGAGCATTATTCCCAAGTATTTCTTACAAGATGAAACATCCATTCAACAAATAGGTGGCCATCCGCAGGCTTACTTCTGGGGATGAACGACAAGCAAATTGAGCCAGGACTAAACATCAACTAGGACTAATTAAGGCTTAGGCCACAACTTGGACAGTTACCGAGAGTGGAAAAAAAGAATTTACACCTTGAGGTTTTTCTGAACATATATGCAGAGTCCCATTAGAAAGAAATAAGAAATCTCTCTCCTCAAATTATGAACATAGGAAAAAATTAAAAATTTTTAAGTCAAAGCATTGTCCTTATTTAGCAAGAAGTAAATTCACTACTTTAGTTCATTTAATCATCTAATTTTGTTGTTGTGTTTTGTGTGGGAAAAGGCAAGTTTGGTAGTTTTTCGTTTTGGTCATTTAATGTAAGTTGATTTCATTAAAGGAGGAGGAGGAGGAAGAGGAGGGAAGGAGATGAAAAGGAGGAGGAGGAAAGAAAACAGGGCCCAATGGATGACTTCAATTTGGCCAGCATCTCTGTCGCAGCCATAGTGGTTGTATCCATGCCCGAGGCCTTGAACACAATCCCACATTACACCCAGCAAAGTACCTGGAGTGTCTGAGATGCTAAACCAGTCTTCACTTTTAAATGTGTCTTCAGATAAATGAAATAAATCTTTCTTAAATAATCAAAATTATTTCCCAAATCCTGTAAAAGAAGAAAAAGGTTTGGCAGAATCTGCCTGAAAGAAAGGAGTTATGGTTTTCCCGCCCAGCTCTGTGAGAGTTTGTGATTCTGATCCTCGGAGTCCACACTTCCTCACCTCCTCCCAGACACACTGTAGTTATGGCCTGTCCTGTGTCTGGGATGCAGGCTTTGGCACCACAGGTGAAATGCACAATGAGGCTTAAAATGGAAATTAACTAAAGCTGGCTTGCTTAAAAAAAATATATGTATATATTCCATATATATATATATGTATGTATATATATGGAATTAAACCCACGTTTTTAAAAGTCCTAAATGTTTTCAAGTCTAAGAAAAATTTAACTTAAACATGTAAGAGAAAAGAAATTTGGTGAGATGGCTGCATACAAGTTAAGGGGTCTGTTAGGAAGAAAAGGAGCCCTTCCGAGCTGATGTAGCTCTGTCTTGTATATCCCTGGGCTGTGACCAGGATGCTTAGGTTGTGCCACGTTGTTAATTTTCTTTGGCGCTGTGGTTACATTTCTGTCTCAGACCACAGGCAGCATGCTCTACTCTTTCCACACAAATGCTACTGGGTTGGTGGTTAGCAAGAGGCAGCCAGAGGGAGCAGGTTAATTTGGGGGCATTGCAAACACAAACCTACTTGGAGTGGTTGCCATTTGAAGAGTAATCCCTCTGTCAGCTGCTGGTAAAGAGTTGTGCTTCCAGCACAAGCATCAGGTAGAGAGGGCCGGGTCCTGGACGGGAGAGTCAGGACTTCTGCAAAAACAACCCTCGTTGTCATAATAATAGCTAACATTTACTAGGGAAATACAGTGTGCAAGCCTTTTTCATATGTTATCTCATTTACAACCATTCTATGAAGTTAAGTATTATGAATACCATCCCCATTTTACAGATAAGGAAACTGAGACTTAGGGTTGTTAAATAACTTGCCCAAGGTCACACAGCTCAGAAATGTTGGATACAGGATTAACCCCAGCAGTCTGTCCCCAAAGACACAGTGATTAATCATTTGGCCACGTGGCATCTTGGTACTGCCCCTTGTTCTAGCTCTGCCATTAACCCAATGACATTGGTCAGCTCACTATCCTTCTATAACACAGGGGATGGGGATAGGGGACTAGATCATCTTTGTGCTCCCTTACAGTTCTGACATTTTATAGTCTGATGAATTGCTTTACCTGCTGGGCTGGAACAGACCAATGCTTTGGGTTAGAGGAGAACTCAGTTGTGGTTGTAGCCATAGCTATGACTACTAAGGGGCCAAAAGCACTCTCATTTGGGGTGGAGGTAGGGGGGAAAGAGCAGAGAGAAAGAACAGGGAAGTTTTAAAAGCCAGGATTCCATTCCTGAAGTAACAAAGGGAGACCAGTCTCCCACACTCAAGTGGCCCCATGACTTTGCTTCCTCATTATTCAACAGAGACTTTTCCTTAAGTGTTCCTGAAAGTTTGAGAAGTTTCAGGGTTATGGAAGGTATGAAGCTTATGATCAACATTTTGCCAAAGGGGAAATCAAAGCAGCAAATTGTTAGTCTGGTTAGTCAGATAAGAGAGGCAGAACAAAGAGTGCATGCCAGGCTCCTTGGCTCCCCGGACCTGCCGCTGCTTCAACCTGACACCCTGCCTTCGTGGGGCCAGATGTTAGTTTAAACCACACGAGCAGGGATCTCTCTAAATTAAAAGCAAAACTGTTCTTCATAGTGAAGATAAACAGAAAACAACTCAATGTCCAACACAAAGAGATTCCTTAAGTAAATGTGCGTGTGTCCACACCATAGAATATACAATGTAACTACCAAAAAGGATGTCATAGGAAACCATGGAATGACATGAAAAAAATGTCCTCAATACATAGTTGCTAAAAAATTGCAGATTACAAAATAATACACAGAACAGAATCTTATTTCGAAAAAAACAATTTGGAAAATATTGGAGATATGTTAACAGTAATAATCCCTTGGTGATAAAATTGTGAGTAATTTTTATCTTTTTAATCTACCTTTTTTATATTTCTACAAAGGAAGACCGACTTTTTTGTGATAATAAAAAGTTATATGAACTAATTGATTAGTAACAGAATTTTTCCTTATCACATCTGCAAAAGTATTTGCTTATACTTTTCATACATCTTAAGTCTCAAATTTCTTTTTCATCAATGAAATAAAAATAAAACTTTTGCCTGGCAGTTGTAGGCTACAGTCAGCCCTGGCCTTAGCTAGTGCTTCAAGCCTAAAAACCGCCCCCAACTCGCTCAAGTCATCCTGCTGTCCTCATCCTAGGCTTCACCATCACTTCATATCTTTGAGCCCACGCAGCGTACTCAGCACAGCCAATACAAAATCAGGGACAGACTCCCTATCCTTATCCCCACCCAAGGGCTCCCATAGTCTGTGGGGTCCTCTCAGAGCTGATAATACTCAGTCTTGTTTTCTTAAAGGCATGTGTTAAAGACACAGGTGGTTGGGGGGAGGGGAAAGCGATCAAATGAAGTGAAAACCACTCCCATCCAAGGAAAGAATGACTCATTCAAATTCTCCTGGGCCTAAAACATGGTTCCTTTCAGATGGCGCCTTCTCTCTTTGTGGCTCTGGGTCTGTGGCCCTAGCTGATATTCAGGAATAGACTTAGTGGAAATATTCGTCTCAAGGTCTGGCAGTTTTGGTAGCAGCAAAGAGACCTCATCCCAGGGGCAGTGTCTGGTAACAGGGTCAGTATGGTGAGGGCATGTGCTGACAGCTGGGAGAGCTGAGGGGGACAGGAGCAGGAACTTTTTCTTTGGTCACTAGGCTGTGAATTCCAAGATGACAGGGAACCAATCTTGATCTCCACTGTACCCCCACCATGTAATGCAGTGTCTGGTGTGTAGGAGGAAATCAACAAGTAATTATTGCTGAATGAATAAAAGAAATTAGGGGTTAAAGAAGATGACCTAATCTTAATCAGTATTAGTACAGGCTTTTAGACATGATTCCTTTTCCCTGAAAAAGTGATTGACTTTGGATCTCTGTCATCAGAAAAAAAAAAAAATCATAATTTGTTAAAATTGAAAGGATGACTTCTCTTTTCCCTCTCTCTCATTCTTTATGCTGTTACACTATTATCTCCTTGGGATCACTTCTCCTTTAGACCATGTTTGTTTGAAACTAAC